TTGACTATGACTCTTCAGTAGAATAAAGAAGGTGGTCATAAATGAGGATGGTCATATCTAAGAATAAACAGTATATGATACATAAACAAACACAAGAATTAGACAAATTAAAAAAAGCAAATACTATCTGCTTTGGGTTGACTTTTTTTGGTAAATGATGAAATCCTTTCTTACTCAGAGTCATGAGACTTGCTCTTCTAGATTAACTGGAAAGACGTTCACTATACTTTTTTGAACACTGTTCCACGATAGCTTTGTCTCTTCAAATTAATCTTTCTAGTGCTAATGTAAAGCATTCGCCTTTGCTTATTCCTCTTAAAGAATTAGTCGGTAACCAAAGATAACCATCCTTTTCTTTTCTTTTTTTTTTTGACACTAAAGGAACTTCTGGTGCTGGATACAATTTTTCCTATTCTCAGCTTCAAAAGAATACAGTTACCACTATATGCATTCATTCATACATAGTGAAATACTGTGTACTGAAATATATTCTGTACATCTTTGGCTAATTCTTGCCTTCTGTTTTTTTTTTTTCACACCACAAAATAACTAAAATATTCAATGTTCTTATATTGTACTCCAAAGGTGCTTTGAGAGTATTCATTTGAACAATCAGATTGCTGTTGTCAGTTTAGTTACAACAGCTTACACTCTTTAGGGAGTAGTCTTAAAACCATCTTTTCTAGGGTAAGGACAAAGCTTCTTTTGTTACTATTATTTTGTTTCTCTCTTCCTTTTCTTTTTTTAGACCGAGTCTAGCTCTGTTGCCCAGGCTGGAGTGCAGTGTTGCGATCTCAGCTCACTGCAACCTCCGCCTCCCCCATCCCATTTCAAGCAATTCTCCTTCCTCAGCCTCCCAAGTAGCTGGGATCACAGGCATATGCCACCATGCCCAGCTAATTTTTGTATTTTTAGTAGAGACTGGGTTTCACCATGTTGGCTAGGCTAGTCTTGAACTCTTGGCCTCATGATCCTCCCGCCTTGCCCTCCCAAAGTGCTAGGATTACAGGCATGAGCCACCATACCCAGCCTTTGTTTTCTCTTCTTTGGCATTTTGTTTTGATTCCCATTTCCCTTGATTAGGTAATTTACATTCTCTAAAGATTATAAAGCTGCATGGTTTAAAATTTTCATGCACAAGGAAAGAAGGGTGTGTGTGTATGTGTCTGTGTGTGTGTGTGTATGTATAGACATATCCCATCTCCTACAGAAACTCATATCTAAGTGAACTCACTTTAAATAAATGGATACCTGGAAAGTGTAATGTAAATAAAATCCTCTGAGAAGAAGCTCACTACCAAAAAGCATTATTCTGAAAATGCTATTATAAAGAAAGGCTTCTTTCTTACAAGAAAACAAAATTATCTGATGCTACTACCTTTTACTTATATCTAGATTTTCTTATTTTTGACTTAAAAATCATGTATAAAGAATTTACATAAATAATGCTTATTGAAATCTTTGGGCAAAGAATAAGAACTTACCAAAATAAAATGCTTCAGGGATTTCTTTTGGGCTGATTATCATCATATAAAAATAATATTGGTCATAGTTTGATTATGCACTTCTTATACTGACATCCCTATTCATTAGCACTGAACACTATGAAGGTCACATGAACCAATCTCTGCTCTGGGGAAGTAAAAATCTTGTTGAGGAACACATTTCAATAGGAAATAATTCTAGAAGACAGAAATTAATAATATACTAATTGAATATGGAGAATAATATAAAATCACTAGAGAGAATCAGTCAGAGAAGATGGGACATTGAGAACATGCTGCAGAGGAAACATTTGGATGAGCAGAGGCTTGAGAGGCTATCCCCAGACATTAAAATTTAGGGGAAAATAAGTGTTGATGGGTAAGGGTTGAGAGATTAAGATGCTTCTAAATTGTGTAGAGTCTGTAATAAACAAAAGTGGAAAATGAAGTAATATTAGTAAGAGTGAGACCAAACAATGAGCGATACTAAAAATATTTGAAGAGACAGTCAATAAGGAGCAAAATATGAAAAAGAATGATGTGCATATTGAAGAAATATTGAAATGGCAGATAGATCAGATATGGGGCAATGGCATTAATTTAGAAATAAAGGCAGTCTTGACTACGTAAGCATAGAGGAGAAATTAGACCAGTCAGTAGTCATTAACACTGAAAAACAGAATTCCAGGCTCTGTCATATGTAAGGGTTCTCACATCCTTACGTGACACTCACAAGTGGAACATCTGTGGGAAGCGTTTCATCCACATGTCCACCTTGAAGAATAGAATGTAATTTGCAAGAAACCCAAGTGTGGCCTGTTGTGTTCACTGCTACATATCCAGTGCCTAAAATAATATCTAGCATAACGTATGAGTGGAGTAAATATTTCTTGAATACTTATCACTTCAAAATATAGTTGAAAGTCTACTTTTCTTTTGAAACTTTTCTCAGTTATTTCAGGTGACAAAGCACAAAGCCTAGGGGGAAAACATGGATTTTGGAGTCAAGCAGACCAGGGTTCAGCTACTGACTACTTTTTAGAAGTGTTTCAACAAAACTTTTCTGATTTTCAGTTTTTTAAATTTGCAAAAGAGAATGCTATCAATCTTTCAGTGTTTTTTAAGGTCAGAGATACATAATGGGTACCAAATGTATGGCAACTATTAACTAAGAGCAACATATACCCCTCAATCATACTTTCTTTACATCTATGCAATGCTGTATATGTCTGAATTATAACACTTATCACTTTATGCAAGAAAGTAACATGTCTGTCTTTTCTCCTCCATATGCAAACTTCTTGCTATACTACTCACTTCTTTAATGTGCCGAGATAATTTGTCTCAAAATTCATTACAACTACAATTTCAGTATAATTTCTTGTTTGATTAGACTTCAATACTTTCTCTTTGTTTCAGTGTCATGACTTTTACTCCTGTGTATTAAAAGTATTAATGTTCAAGTTTGTATTCATTCCTGAAATATGAGTTCTGCAAAGACAGGAATGCTAGTTTCTGTTCACATATTCTTGATGCATAGGAAATTATGCTGGGCACACAGACACATTCTATCAAACATGAGATAAAAAAATAAAAATTATGAAATTTTGTGCCAAAATTTTCATTAGGCAAATGGATATTATGAAGAACAAAAAGAATATTAGAACATGTTATCTCCCAGAGAAATTATTCTTAGAAAGAAAGCAATAATTCTTAGAATTACTGAAAAAATTAAATTCAGACAAATTTTAGAAACGCTGTCCTGTCAGGAATTTTGCTAAAGAAATCCAAGATAATCTCAGAGTTTAGGGATTACTTATATTTTTTTGCATACCTGTTTTGCAGGCCTTACTTACATTTTTTGCATACCTGTTTTGATATTGAAAATAGCAGCTATTGCATTCTACTTGAGAGTCTCATCCATGCACTTTTTATCAGTTCCTGATTTCAGGACCATCTTTTGTTTGTCAACAGCACTTACTAAAACTTCTACAATGTGTAGAGCAAAGAGGCTGGTGAAAGCAATCACTAGACATGAAGACACCAGTCTCCTCTGAAATCAGCAACCTATTTAGATAGACAGGAATCATGAAGAAATAATGCACTAAGAGTGAATTTCACATCACATTCTCAGAGAAGGTTGATGCTTTGGTATTATTATTATGATATCAAGGTATAAAGCCTGCAATGTTGAAATTCTGCCAATATAATAAAAACAAAACCCTTCGGCTTTCATCTAGTGTCTTGCAGAATAAACAAAAGATTGCTCTGTGTTCATTCCAACTAGTTGCTGTGGGCCTAGCCACAATGAGTAACAAGATGAGTAACACAGTGAGTAACAAAAGTAAGCTTTTTCTTTACTCTTTGAATCTAAATTTATTAAACTACTTGAAATGGAATGGTGATATCTAATTATTACAGGGCATTTGCAGAACTCAAAAATCTATTCATGTGCTTTAAGAACATATTGATTTTTTCCTGGAAAGCATGATGCTTTTATGCATGTTGTATCAAATCCAGATCTTACTTTCCAATAAAGAAAATAGAGTATTTTATCTAGTAAAAATTATATGAAATCTATATTTTTAAATGATAGCTTCTGCTAGACAGGAAATTCTATGTCAGTAGAACAGCATTTGATTATTTTTATTGATTTATGTCCACCAAAAATGAGAGCACATTATCTTATTTTAAGATAAATAATATTGACAAAATGTGGCTCTTTTAATATTCTAATGCCAACATCCAAACTTATTTTCTTCATTAATCTTTAAGACTGGTTTACAAATACTAGGAGAGAAAATTATTTTTCAGTATTATGCTATATTCACCTTCCAATATTACATAATTTACTTTTGATATACTATTTATTAGTGTTATTTTCTAAGAACCTGATATTAACAGCCTTTTTGCAAATGTAAAATTAGTTTCAGCTTGTAACCTTTAAAAAAAATATGTTAGACATAACTGCCTAACAACATGAAAACAATAACATGTATATGTAAAGTTAAAATGATAATCTCATAGAGAAGACTTAACTCAAATGGCTACCAGTAGACCCCCAAACCAAATGATCAATGTTCCTCCTGTAAAACAATGCTTTAATGATCAAATGAAATTACAGGGATCTCATAAAGATATGTAAGCCACAGATACAATAGCTGCGGTATGCCTGGAAGTGGCTAAGCTCCCAAGCAAATCATCCCTATTAGTTCCTATTCATGATTCGAATTATGCTATTTTATCTCTTCATAACATGCTGCAATTTTTTTTTACCCTCACATTTTAGGCATTTTAGCTTCTGCTGACATAAATGCATTCCCAAAATAGAATGTTACAGCAATCTTCTGCTAGACATTTAAGCCCATTTGTGCACTTATTTTTTTTTTAATGCTTTTTTTGAACTTTCTAACTGTGAAAGGGCTGGGAAGGTAGTGTTAGAATGAATGAAAACTTGTTTTCTAAAGCAACACTAAACACTTGCTCTACTGTTAAAAAAAAAAATCAGTCTCCTACCTTGAACACAAACATCTCACGGCGAAGAATAGCTAGAGTGTTAAAGTTCCCATCACAGATGTTGGGTTTGGCTCCAGGATAGGAGGGTCTGCCGGTGGGAGGCCGAGGAGGTTTTGGCCTGTCATTTTTCCTTGGGTCAGCCGGAGGAATAGAGCGGTGTGGGGGCACTGTCGGTAGAGGTCTTGTAGGTGGAGGAATCTTGTCAGGTGGACCTTTTGAAAATATGAGGACAGTGCTTGGCTCACTTAAAACTGGAATAGAGCTGGAAAATATGCTACAGAGAACAATCACTTATCAGCAGAGGGCACAGACTAAGTGAACTAAGAGGTCTTTAAGATAGTATATTTTCTGAAAAAACAAAATATCTTACCCAAAAAAGCATTGCTAAATCTATCTGAAACAGTCCTTATCATGCTAGATTCTGGATCCAGGTAGCTAGGTTTTCTTTGTCAATTTTTACTAATATTTTTTATAGCTTCACCACGGCTATTTTTGGAAAAGCTGCTTTCAGATCTTTTTCAGAAATAGGTGGTATATAAATAATAAATAAATGGAAAAGAATACTGGAGCCATGTATGTAAGCTCCAACAAAGTTAATCCTAGATTTTGCTAGATAATGATTCTCTGCAAATATTTCCAAAAGAGAAATGTTAACTAAGCAAAGTTTATTCTATCCTATGTGTCCAAGCTGTTTGATACCCTTTTATTGATTTTCACTGTTTTCTTCTAATGAAATGTTTTGATAAATTGCTGGAAGAGTATTTCATTTAAGAAGTGAATCTAAAATACCTATTGATTAAAATACCACCAGTAAAATATTAATGTGAAAAAGTATTTCTCAAAAGAGGCTTCTAAATAAAGCCAAAGTTTACATATGTAATTTGTTACAGATGTTAAGCATCATTTTCAAGAGATTCATGTTTTAAAAAAGAAATATAAAGCTGTTTGCATTTAATATTTAGGTATGGGAAGAATATTTTTTTGCAGACCTTCAGTCTAGACTACTACTTCATCAGGTCGTGAGAAAGAGACTTCTTTCAGTAAAGCACTTAAGAAGAATTTCTGATGATACACACTTAGACATAGGATAGTTCAATTCAACATAAGTGATATTTAGCACTGAGTCAGACATATCTCTCTTCTTGGTATCCCAGCAAACTAAAGAACAGCACAAAAACTGATCTTTTTTTTTACAAATTGATTTTAACCCTGAGAGAATACTTACCACTGAGTTATTAAAATTGAAAAAACTAATGTATGTAAAACAAATTAGTGAACTTAAACTATGCTGCTTAAAAATGCAAAAGACATCTTCTGGATACTGGATATTAACATACAGATGGCACACATTTGTCTTTGTATTGTAAAAATAAAAGCTTCACTTCATTAATTTAGTAAAGCATATTTGCTATATGTAAATTATAAATGTCAAGCTATTAGCAACTTTGTGTGAAATAAATGCCTTTATAAAGGTCAATGGTTGTATGAGGAAGTTAGGATTTTAATAAATATGCATGATACTCTTTCCCTTTTTCTCTTAATTTGCATTCATTGAAATAAATAAAAATGACATTATACTAGAAATTTGTTTTGCACTCTATTAATAAACCACTACTTGTTTTAACTCCCTTGTTTGTAATTTAACTCCCTTGTTTGTAACTCCCCTGTTTGTAATTTAACTCCCTTCTTTGTTAACTCTTACTCTAGGTCAATAAATCATTACATGACTTTGGGACCAATTTCTCATACCATCACATAAGGGTATTTTGTGGACCTTCAAAAGTATTTGGCCTAGGAAATACCTAACATCGTATCTCTCAAACTATGAGTCAATCTGTCAGTTTGTAGAAAAGTCTCAGCATTTTATATATGAAAGTCTTATATTTTTTTCCTGTTTTCATTGGTTACATTCATTTATTATATATTTTTACCTGAATTTAAAAAACTAAAGTTTATCAGAACTTTGCAGTAACTGCAGGTTTCAATCAAACTCAGTAAGAAAATTTCATCAGTGCTTAACATTGTTCCCATAATCTATACATTAAGATAACTGGGACCTTTGTCAATGAAATTCAATTGATAGAATAATTTTGCCAGTAGGCCAGCTATATACTTTTTATTTAGTTATCTATCTTATTCTTAGAGCATCTATCTCAAAGAAGAAAACACAGCAGAAATTCTGAACTTCACTACAGGATTACGCAAATGGGAACAGTAGTAACCTACCATATATCTTTTGGATGCCCTGCAAATCATCATTAGGTAGTTTGAAGTTGTCTGTTTCCATGTACTGGTAAAATGGAGCCATGATGGCAGTGGGATCATTGGAATGCTCCAATCCCAGAGCATGCCCCAGTTCATGAACTGCTACAAGAAATAAGTCATTTCCTGTGTGAACAAGAAGAAAATAAGTTATTGTAACTAATATCCAAGTACAGAATTGAAAAGGACAATTTGGTGTTATCAACATTTCACCCAAAAAAAATAGGAGGAACTCTTTCCTTCAACTATTAGTATGGTTTCATCATTGGCTTTCCTACTGGCAAAAATACAATATCCTTCGCTCAAAAAGGGGTCAGTGAGGAGGTGATGATGAAGAAGTCACAGATATTTAGAATCCAAAAGGGAAAAACAAATAATAAAAGTTGAAGGGCAGCAGTATCAGAAACTGATTCTACTGCTGTCAAAATACTCTGCTAATTATGAAACACATAATGTAAAATATCTTAGTTTTATGCCTCACATTTAATATAATTTTAACAACTTAGTAAAAAATATAGGGCAGACATCCTCCTTACTTTTATACAGATGAGTAAAGTAAGACACGAAGATGACAAGTCTTGTCAGGAACAGCAAAGGGCTGAGATTGTGACTCAAGGTATTCTGACTTCTAGACTAAAGCTTTAATTTCTTGCTAGCCTAGAATATAGGAATACAATATTGTAAAATAAAATCTATAGGCTAACAGTCATACTTTCTAGAATTCTAGTTCTAGCTTTATAAATACCAATTCTAATCTTTTCATACCTAATCTGAACAAAATATATTTATCTTAGAGCTGCTGCTCATCACTGAAAATTTCGACCTGTGGTAAACTTGCAAAGTGAAATCTACTGAGTAAAAAAATCTGCAGAGATATTTGATGTGATTTTATGCAATCAACCCCTGATGATGACTTCTACATTTTGTTCAATCCTGGATCATCACAACATACTCAATATGAGAAACAGAGGTGGTCCTACATCTATATTTTTTAATGCTGAAAATTTAGTTGGACAATGTGATGTATCAATTAGTTGGGGCTGTTACATTTCTAAGGGTTATGTTTCTAAGTGAAAAGTTTAATGTGATTGAACATGAAGGGTAATATTTCACATGAATACCTGCCATAAATGCAAATATTTAATAATTTCAACAAGAATTATTTTTATGAAAACCCCTTTCCGACCACTTTTTTTGGTACTGTGATAATTGCCTTCAGAAGACTATTTTTTGAACCCAAAGCCAGGTGAATAACTAACGTAGTCAGTCACAGAGGAATAGGTGAAATCATGAGGCTAACTCTTCATATGATATTAGCATATCAAAAAGGAGTTACTGAAGGGGTCTACCTGAGTAAAATTACTAATAGAGCATGGTTATTGAGGGTTGTTTAGAGAACACCATAGTCATAGACGGAAGAAAAAAACAGAAGGAAGGAAGAAGTTATTCATAAAGAGTTGCATAACTATGACAATGTTTGCAAGTATGTAATTTAGGGAGAAGACTACTAAGGATTCTGTCTTGAGGCACTCGCAGGTGAGGAGACGATTGGAAAGAAAAGAAGCTATAGTCATTTATAGTTATGAAACAACCCCAATACAAAATGAACACCTTAGTTAAGATACCAATCTGATAACCAAGAGGCTTATTGCTATGCTAAATGACATGTTAAGTGGAAGACGAATAGCTTTGGAGCATGCCCATACCCAAAGAATAGCTTTGGAGCATGGGTCAACTTTGGCTGGAGCATGGTATCATTGGGCTAAGTGAAAGGACACATTTTCACCAACAGCAGACCAAATGGCAAAACAAAGATCTATCAAGCATACACAGGAACCAAAGAAGCTCAGGCAGTCGAATGAAGAGCAGAAAACTCAGGAATTGGCATTGAAGTTCACCATGAACAGCTAGTTACACCTGAACGCAAGTCAGAAGACAGTGCTCACTCAGAAATTAGCTTCAGACACTCCTGGCCTTCTTTTAGCAAAACTGATGCAACTTCTTGATCAGAAAGTCCCAATATGGACTTACACGGATTATATCTTAATTTAATCTTCAAAAGGAAAAAAAATTCCAACTTTCATTCCCTCCTCCTTGCATATCACCTTCACTAGAAAACACACATCCTGCTCTGTTCCTAGACACATAGGAAGTCAGTCTTACTTTGATGCAGATAAACATTGCTTTCAGTCAAAACTAAAATTTTGGCTAGGAGACTTGCTGAATTATAAAGACACTTCAAACCTCTCACAAGAAAAAAGTCTCTTGGTCTCAGATATATTTTTTTCCTTTTTTTGGGTAGAAAGAGGAATACAAAAAGACAAAAACAACACAGACCTAATAGCAAACAGGTCATAACAGTCAAAGCCATTCTGTTTCATGTACCTGTTCTCTTCAGATCATTCATATTTTTCCTAAGCATCATTTTGAAGGGTGGAGTTATTCCTTGTCTAAGGAATAAAGTAAGGCTTTAAAAGAAAATTAATAGGACCAGGATATGAACTTGTGACCTGTTGAGTACTCTACAGCATTTTAAATCAGAAACATTGGCCAAGGGTGCCAAGTAATTACCATTCTTCAGATGATTGGCAATAATGTAATTAAACCTTACTTGCAGCTTCACAATAGTTTAAAAGGGTAAGTTGTTCAATAAAATACTGCCCTGTGATTTGAATTCCACTAGGAACAAAAGTTGTTGGCACACGATGAGCTTCAGACAATTAAAATGCACTGGACCTCCTTCCTAATGATGAAAATAATAACTACTGCTGTAACTTATCATTAATTCACATTATTCAAAATCCTTAATTGTTATATGCCTTGATTTTATCACCAAGCAGGCAACAAAGAATAAATCAGTCTCTTGTTTCTTAATACAGAAATAGTACTTGCTTCTTTTGCAAGATTTTGAGTTTGAGTTTGTTGCTTTCAACTGTATCTCTAATCTCCTTTCCTTTGTATATTCCAATACAATATTAGAATACTAAACTGTATATTATGAAGGATAATGCATTATTTGTCATGTCTTTGTCATAATTATGTCTATATTTTATTCCAAGCTCCTTCATCCCTCCATGCATTTTCACATACTGTTCTCTCTGCTGACATATCCTGAATGTTAAAAAATGATCGTGTAATATTTTATACATACAAATTGTTCTGAGTAATTCTAACATTTATAATCCTACTAAAATTTTTGGATATCACCAACATTAATAAATCTCTCTCTGATGTTTCTGTGTTCCCATAACTTTGGTTCCTCCATTCCTTCCAGAGGTCATCACTATCCCGAGTTCTGAATGTCTCATTGCATTGCTTAAATTTTTGTTAAATGTATTTTTGTATATTTTGCCTTGCTTATACTTTTATCAACTATGTATGTTTCAATGAATTATAGTTTCTGTTAGTGTTGGAGCTTTGCAAAGTTTATCTTTACATGCTGTCTTCTAAAACTTGTTGAAACTCAACATTTTTTCCTAATATATGTCCTCCAGCTTGCCTTTGTCAGTTGTGCAAATCTTGTTTATATATATATATATATATATATATATATATATTTTTTTTTTTTTTTTTTTTTTTTTTTTTTTGAGACGGAGTTTTGCTCTTGTTACCCAGGCTGGAGTGCAATGGCGCGATCTCGGCTCACTGCAATCTCCGCCTCCTGGGTTCAGGCAATTCTCCTGCCTCAGCCTCCCGAGTAGCTGGGATTACAGGCACACACCACCATGCCCAGCTAATTTTTTGTAGTTTTAGTAGAGACGGGGTTTCACCATGTTGACCAAGATGGTCTCGATCTGTTGACCTCGTGATCCACCCGCCTCGGCCTCCCAAAGTGCTGGGATTACAGGCTTGAGCCACCGCGCCTGGCCAAATCTTGTTAATATTTTAAAACAAAATTCAAAGTCATCACCTCTGCGAAGCCTTCTCCAAATTCCCACGTAAATTCAGTGCCGCTACATCTGTGTATACTTGACCTTTCTCATATAACTTGATTGTAACACGTATCGTAATTGCCCTGAAAACTTCTGATGCTCTTAATATTTACTTGTAGTTTAAGAGACTGATAGTAAATTTGAACAGATTTCTGATCCTAAACATATAAATATTTAAAATATTACAGTCCATATCTAGAAATAAAAATCAGAAATCATCATTAAACCTGTGATTAGTAGAGGCAGAGATTTCTCCAGTGCTTAGTGGATGAATAAGATGGAATGGGTCTTCTCAAACTGCAGCTCTATCAGACCATGAGTACAGTTGGTTTCTTTAGCTGAGAAGCTAAAGAGATATGTGGGAGCCAGCCTCAGAGGTGACAACAGTGATCCTCTCCTCCTGATCTCACACTCACATTGTATGAGGGTTTTATCAGTTTGCCATAGCAAATCATGGTAGAAGTGATGGTATTTGACTTCTAAAGTGAGGTCATATGATATATCCATGACTTCCATCTTATTTCTCTTTGTTTCTCTCTCCCCTACCTTCCCCTACACCTGCCCCCTCTACAGCCATGTGAGTTAGCTTGAAAGTGAATGTTCCAACCCCTTCATATAAGTACAGCCCTAGCCAACATGGGTATCCCTGAAATAACCCTCCTAGCCAGAACCACTTGGCTAAGCCGCTCCTCGATTTCTAACCTTCAGCGCTAGAATCTTCAGAACCATGTGAGATAGTAAATTGTGGTTTTAAGTTGCTGCGTTTTGGGGTAGTTTTTAAATGCAGCAATAGATAAGTGCTGTGGGGTATTTTAGTACTCTAACTCCTCTCCATTTGGTTTGGATTAAGAGATGATTCTAAGACAAACTGAAAAATACAGAAGAAAGGAAGCTACTTTGAAACATGTGAGTGTTTGTATAGCACTTCTGAAATAAACAAGGAATAAAAATATTGTCTATTCCAACTCCCTCTACAATAAGCAAAAGGCTTGGCATAACTCTTAGTCTGAAGGAATGTCTGAGTTTGAAAATTTCCAGAGGTAGGAATATCATCTGTTTTCTTGTCTCCTGTGTTTTTTCAAATATGAAAAACCTGAAACATTGTTGTACCTATGCTATTCCTCTTTGCACTTTACTGAAAAGAGGGCCACTCTCTTGGTGGTCAGAAAAGCCAGAGAGCCAGATAAGTCTGAT